TTCATGGTGTTTAGTATGTATTAGAAGAGATTAAAATTACCTTTCATGAGAAGCTATATTAAGTTCCTACAAGAATTATGGAATACCTTCTTTTTTTCTTGACCAATTAATTGTTTTATGATGAATGAGCGTAATGTTAATGTTATACTTCAAATACATATATCTGAAAGTCATAGACTGTAATCATCACTGAGAAATGAAAAAGGTAATATTTTCAGATATTGGGAACTGATAGTGGGAACTTTTCTTTTGCCTTTCAAAGTTTGGCAAGTTACACAATAAAAATATCAAGCATACAAAGGAAGATAAAGTATTGTTTCATGGAAAGAAAAGTAGAACTATTGTTTATAAAGTCTGACACTATCTGTAGCTTTTATTGTTAGCTCATTTGATAATGCTTTTTTTCCTTTTTCTAAATATGGTTATAATAATTTTGTTATCTATGCCAGGAAGAAGAGAGGATTCATGAGTTAATTAGAAAATTCTGCCTATTGCATACCTACTTGTCTTTACCTTGTAATATGCCTCCTGATTTATACCTTTTGGCACAAATAAGGAGAGAGAGAGAGATTTGAAGAGATAACTTCCAGAAAACAAATGCATTCACTTAATGGCTACTACAGTAACTGAGAATGTTTTGTTTTTGAGTTGGAAAAGGAGCTAGGTTTCCAAACTTGTATAAAAGTAGCAGCTTGAATATTAAACCCAGAATGAGATGGCAGGGTTCTTAAAATATTTCTTTCCTGGGGGGCGTTGGTAAGTCAGGCCTTTAATCCCAGCACTCGGGAGGCAGAGGCAGGTAGATCTCTGTGAGTTCGAGGACAGCCTGGTCTACTGAGCAAGGTCCAGGACAGCCTCCAAAGCAATACAGAGAAAACCTGTCTTGAAAAACAAAACAAACAAACAAACAAACAAAAACAAGCAAACAAAAAAATACTTCTTTCCTTTCTCTAACATGTTTCTTTTCTTACTTTTCCTTCTTCTTTGCCATCTGTTTAATGCTGGAAATAGTAACTGCGATTAGAGAAAAGTAGGCGATAGAGACGACATTAATAGCCTCAGCAGGGCTAATGTCATTCTCATTGAGTATGTCACTTCTGCAGTGAAAATGGCATATACCGCTATCATCCCTGGATTCAACTAGGTATTCTGTGTATACTAGAATTCATTATTTCTCCTCAGGGGGAAATTCCTCCTTGTCGAAAGAAGGTGGTGGCTTGGCTCAGATCACTTAGCTAATTAGTGAGGGGGTGGCACTTGCTCCCAACACTTCCTGAACCTCGAACCACCTGCTGAGCAGAAGTGCAGTGGTTGCATACTCTTGTCTGCCAATCACATTGCCCCAAGTACCATCTCCAGAAATTGTAAACCAAACCAAGCAAAGGTTCTCCCTTCAATTCACTGGGTACTGCTGTCTGCAGTTGAGTGTTGAGTCTCCTGAGGAACACCTTAAATGTTCAGTGTGTCCAGGGAGTGATCGGGATGACAACACCTATGTACATCACATTTTATGAGGAACAGGAGAGGGCACAATGAGACCTGGAAACCAGGAGAGCAGGACTCTCAGGAAAGCTCTGCTGTGTTGAGGGGAGGTTATATTCAGTTTGTGTCCTGTGGCAGCAAGGACATTACAACAGTTCTGCAAGCTAGAAATGATATTGATGTGATAGAAGCAATATGCTTTTTTTGTGGTTTGGAAGTAGAGAAGGACACTGTTTTAGAACCTTTTAACAGACAAGGTTAAGGGCTGGTTGGAAGTGCTTCAACTGAAGTTGGATGAGGAGGACAGGATGCTTCACACAGTTTCTGTCTTGGGCATGATATTGAGGAAGGGGGATTCTAAATTCCCCTCAACTGTGATAATCTGTTATTTCGTCTTTCCCACAGGTATTTGAGCCCAGCAGGGTCAAGGGCTCCATGTTATTTCACAGCTCTTGCCTCCCTCACCTACCACATGCTTCAAATGCAATAATGCACATTAACTTAACTGGCAAACGAGTGATTAAAAAATTCACAGGTGAAATCATGGAGCTTTAAAATTGAGTTGTTATCTTTACTACCAGCAGGGATCTTCTTATTAAAATACCTATAAGGTAATAAAATATAGAGTGTTGTTTCTATTTTAGTGATGTTTTGACATGCAAATACAATGAGTAAATACAAATGAGAGTCTGATTACTAAGCAATACCTTGACATCAGGATGCAGAGCAGCTTGGAAAGTGATGTAAATCTACCCCCTCCCTCTGCAAGCAGAATCAATATTCTGCTATGTGCTTAAGAAAGAAAATAATGTTTTCTCTATTTTTATTATAAATTTTCATTTAAATTAGAAACAATCTTATTTTACACATCAATTCCAGTTCCCTCTACCTCCTATCCTCCCATGCTCCCCATCCCAACCCTCATCCCCTCCCTAGTAAGGGTGAGGCCTTCCATGAGGGATCATCAAAGTCTGTCACATCATTTGGAGCAGGACCTAGACCCTCTCCCTCTGTGTCTAGGCTGAGAGAGCATCCCTTCATGGGGAATGGGTTCCCAAAGCTATTCCTGCACTTGGAATAAATACTGGTTCTGCTGCCAGAGGCCCCATAACTCTAGCCTCCTAACTGACACCTACATTCAGGTGTCCTGGTTTGGTCCTATGCTGGTTCCCCAGATGTCTGGTTGGGGTCCATGAGCTCCCACTTCTTCAGGTCAGCTGTTTCTGTGGGTTTCCTTAGCATGGTATTGACACTTTTGCTCATCATTCCTCCTTTTCTACAACCGGATTCTAGGAGTTGGCTTAACCCATTTTTACCTTTTGATTTTTTGACAGGAGATGCCTGGTCACTAAGTTGTGCACACAGGTCTTGACATTTCAATCGTCCTTCCTCAGCCTCCCACTTCCGTGTACCTGGGATCACATGGCTGAGAAAAAAAACCAAAGAACACAAGGGCCAGATACAGTGGCTCACACATGTCATGTTATCTATTCAGAATGGTGAGTCAAGAGGATTATAAGTTTGTTATTAACCTAGACTACACAGTGAATTACAAGTCAGCCTATGCATCTAATGAGGCCCTATATCAAAATGGAACTCAAAGAATATAGAGTGGGTCTCATTCTATGATAAGATTTGCCTCATGTCTTTGAGGCCCTGATTTTAACCTCCAGCATCCTAACAAATAAACAAAAGTGACAGAATAGAGCACAGTGGTACACTAAACACACACAATAACACAGGGCTATGGCAGCAACTGTAGCATTTGTCTTTAAATTCATCCCTATGGAACATGTAAGTGTGAAAGAAACTCCATCACACAGAGTCAAATGGTGACTGAGGGTAATGGAGAAGTTGGCAAGGATTATGGCTTAGAGTAAAGCAGACAGTTGATATTTGGGCATCATGGGTCCTTGGTATCTGTAGCAGCAGAGCAGTTGAGCATATCAGAAATCTGATAGGGTGAAGCAGACAGGGTAGAATATCTATGGGTTCATTCCAAATTAGAGATTCATATCAGAGTAAAAGAAATGGCCAAGTTGGACTTCTAACTTGGGTTCCTTTAGAAAATCTGGGTCAACCTAAGCATGGCAATTTTTACCTGTCACTGGGGAAAGACAACTCCACTGTTGGGTAGATACTACTGGTTTTTTCAGGAAAGATGGTGTGTTCCTGAGTCCTTTACCACTCAGTGACCTGTTACAGATGTAGAGATAGACATGGCTGCAAGAACACAGCCATTCTAATTTGCTTCCTATTCTGTAACAATCACCATTACTGAAAGAAACTTGGGGAGGAAGAGGTTCACATAGCTTACGAGCTACAACCCATCCTTGAAAGAAGGCAAGGCAGGAACTCAGGGTAGGAACACAGTGGCAGGAATTAAATTAAGACCATGGAGGAATGTCTGTCTACTGTCTTGTTGTCATGTTCTCCATGGTTTGCATATCCTGCTTCCAAACACCCTGTAACTACCTGCCCAGGAGTAGCAGTGTCCACAGCGTACTAGCACGCTTACAGAAATGCCCTCGGGCCAGTCTGTGGAGGCAATTTTTATTAAATAAGGATCCTTCTTCCCAGGTGACATGTCTTCATCAAGCTGTCAAGTACTAATCGACAAGAAGCACACCTTTAACTGGTGAATGCTGACTTATCTTCCAAGTATAGTCATATCTGTATTTCACACTCGTAGCAGAACACTGGCCCAGTATATGCCTGCACTAGCATCAGTATCCAGGCTGGAGAACCCAGTCTGGCAGGTGTTGGATCTACAGCATGGAAAACAATTGGCCCTCACTCTGGTTAACTCTGCTTCACTTAGCTTAGAGTGGTGGAACATAACTGCCCTTCTTTCCTAGTTAGCATCTATTAGATTCAAGCAGTGAAGGCAAGATTTTCTACAGTTAGTGCATATCTAGAAAACCTTAAGCAGTCACTATCACTCAAGAAATTATCCCATAACTACTCTGAAATGACATTTCTTTACTCATTTAATCAAAATAATGGATCATTTGTAAAGTATAGCGTTAGTGGTTATGTTTTATATTTCATTAAATTACTTGCTTACAGTGTTTAAGGGAATTTCAATGTGACAATTTATTAAACAGAAGGTATTACCCCTATATGAAAATGATGTACCCATTTAGTGCAAAAATATCTCCTAGTTATTTTAGTATGTGACAAGGGTTTCAAATATCATCTCTATAACGCCTTTACCTTTCATCTGGTGTAAACTATGCTCTGTTTGATTCAGGCGTCACTCCAGAACTGAAACACTTATTTCAGAGGAAACAGCATAAACAGGCGATGGGCAATCACATCTAATCGGTGATAGCTGTGCTGATTTATGTTCTGTGCTTATTTAATTTTATTTTTTAAATCAACACTGAGAAGGAAAAGTTGAAATATTAATTACCCGTTTACTGCCAATGTAGCGGAAAATGTAATTTATAGTCTACTTGCAGTGCTTAAAAAAACCCTCTGTGCTTAATTTAAGAACTCAAATTATTCGAGTAACATTTTGAATTTGATTATTTGTTTAATTGAAACGTTGCTCTTTCAGTCAGAATTGCTTCTGTGATTCCAATTTCAGCAATATTAACGAAGAGTGTGCGAAGGACCACATGGAGAAGCCACAGGTGGAGATGCGCTGGGGAACGGGTGTGTGACTGAGCCCTGCTAACCTGCACTTCATTAGCAGCGATGCTGTCTCAGTCTTGATGTTGTTAAAGAGAAGAAAGGAATCCTGGAGATGCTCTGCATCCGTAGAGTATCTAAAGTGAGAAAGAGAAACTGAGGCTGTATTTGGTAGTGACAGCCCCTACTTGTAACCTTGGAACTCTGGAGGTTAGTGGGGCAAAACAGGATACTTAAGATGATTCTTACCTGCAGAATGTGTTGGAGACCGTATTCGTTATTTTTCTATTGATATGATAAAATAGCATGACCCCAAGCATCTTAAAAAAGGAAGGGTTTATGTGAGGCTTACAGTCCTGGCAGGTTCTAGAGCCCGTCCATCACCTTCACACTGAGGAAATGTGGAGGAAATGTGGCAGCAGGCAACGATGTCTGCTGGAGCTGGGAGATGAATGTTCGCATCTCAAACCCTAAAGGGAAGGAAGAGAGATAGAGAGAGGAGGAGGGGAGAGACAGAGAGAGAGAGACAGAGAGAGAGAGGGACAGAGAGAGAGAGAGAGAGAGAGAGAGAGAGAGAGAGAGAGAGAGAGAGAGAGAGAGAGAGAGAGGTGGGGAGGTCTTTTGAAACAGCAGTACCTGCCCTCATTGACATACTGCCTCCAACAAGATGACACTTATAAACCTCGCCAAACAGCCACCAACTTGGTACCATGTATTAAAGTGCCTGGGCTATGGCACGCAACTCATTTAAACCATTACAGTGGTCATTGTGGACTATGTGAGACCCTGCCCCAACCTAACAAAAGAAGACAACAAAAAGATCTTATAAGCAAAGTCTATTGCCTACTCCAGGAGTTGTAACAGATCTGAGGACAACATAGATGGAATTCCTTTTTGAGATTCAAATTCAGAAGACATGATTTGGCACTCAAGATCAGTACCACAGTAGAAGAGGTCTTACTTCAGCAATTCCCTCTTTTTGACTCAGTAATGTTTCACAGTTGTCTATCCATCTAGACATCTAAACTACAACTTTTCAGGAGTCTATTCTAGAAAACGCTAAAAATTATAACTTTTAAAAGAAAGTTGCCAGTGTTTGTAACTATCCAGGAACAGATACATATGGCATTTACCACGAATAAATAAACATTGAGTGAATCTTGATCTCCATGGCCTTCATGTTTCAGATATTGCTATAGTCAACATACATTGTATTTCTACCAACCAGAAGCATCTCTGTGGTATGTGTATTGATTCTCTTCCCTGACATCTCAATGAAAAACACCTCCTAATCTCCCTGTCATTAGAGTTCTTCCTTTACTAGGAGCTATGTGGCATACTTGTGACTTTAATAGGATGCTTATGATTTAACATATTATTCTTGAGTTCTATTCATGATTAATATGACCATAAACATACAGCTTGGAATCATGAGTAATCATTGTTGGGTTAGCATTTAACAGCCATTTTCCTGAGTTGTGTAGGAGCTTAACTTTATAAGATACACAGAGATTTTCCAATGTGATGACCAGCATTTTTATATTCCTACAATCAATGTTTGCAAATGGAATAACTCAAGCTTTTTCCAATACTGGGCCATGACAGCTTAGCTTTAGCCATTCCCATGGGTATGATGGCATTCCTTGGTGGCTCTGTTTGCGGTACATTGTTGACTAGTGAGATAGAGGATGTTTCCATAACCATTACTATCACATAGCAGCCTTTCCAAACTCTTTGAACAAGTATGTTTTCTATTTAAATCTGATTTCTCATTGTTTGTGCAAGACTTCTTATAACTCCTTCATGTAAGTGCATTGACATACAAGTTTTCCCATATTTTCTCTTTATTTCCTTCACTTAAGTTCTCAATATGAGCTATTTTTAATTGTGAAATGATTATTCTGTCGTTGTTATTGTTTTCAGTCTTAGGAAGTTGTGATCTGAGAGGTTCTAAGTTTCTGATAAATTATTAAAATTCAAATTTTCCAGTTCGTAAAGCCTTCTTTCATTGTGTTTTATAGTTTTCTGTGTTTGACACTTACATATGTCTGATGAAGTTAATGTTATTTTCATTTTCCCATGTTATTATAAGAGGAAGTAATTTTAAATTTTCATTTTATTTATTCAATGACAATATTTGGATATAGAAATCAATTTTTGTTTTTCTATCCTTTGCTTTCCCATACAGACCTGATTTCTCTTAATCTTACCAGAGTTACATTTGTTTTAGTAGATTTTCTACAAAGCTTAAGATTTCATCTTTGAAGCATTTTATCATTTACAAATAATATTCCATTTCTCCATTTTCAAATTGCATACAATTTCTTTGCTTACTACATCAGTCTAAGAGTGCAAACAACATTAAAAATTATTGTTGTCACTGAACTCCTTTTATTTCATACTTCCAACATGTAGAGAAAATGCACTGTCACTTAGTCCCCATTACCTGCTGTTGATCTCACATTATGGGCTTATTCTTGATCGTAGCACATTAGTCAGTCTGGTGGTTGCTAGCTTTGGTAATATGAAAGTGGAATACAATTAACTTTCGTTTAAACATTTGTTTACCTTTATTTCAAGTGTGGAAACTTGGGGTCGCCTGATGTAACCTTTTCTATGTCCCAGTGATTTATTTTTATGTATATCTGTATTGATCTATATATCTATCTAAGCAACATAAGCATACGTAATACCCATGGAAACAACAACAGGACATTTTATTCCCTGGAACCTGAGTTACAGACAGTTGTGAACTGCTGTATAGGTGCTGGGAATTGAACCTAGGTCGTTTGCAAGAGCATCCAGTGCACTTAACAAGTGAGCCATCTCTCTACCTCCATCTCAAGACTCTTGAAATCCATGTCTTGTGGGTTAATTTTTCCTTTCTTTGGTCTGATGCAAAATTTTTCTCACATACTTCTCATAGGAGGGTGTTTTCTGGCACACATTGTTCCCCTAGATCATATTAAATAAATGTATGATACATGTTTTTTGAGTGAGTGAACACTCCATTCCAGTACCCATTGTTTGTATTCAGGTGTGACTAGTTCATAAATAGTCATGTTTTTCTGCCTTTCATAAATTATCTATCTTGTGAAATGGGTTCTTTGTACACTAGATATTGGCAATGGCACTTCTGCCTCTGCCAAAATGAACATAAAAATAGAGTAGTTTGGACTGCCAGGCATTGCCTCTGGCCAAAACCTTGAAATTTTCACTTATCTTTTTTTTTCCTTTCTATCTCCCTAGCCTCTAAGCAACCCTCTCCTACCTCTACTTATTTGTAGTACATAAGGTTAGGGCTTGTTTCATTATTACAAGAGTGTGAAACCATACAACTATACATGGAATTAACTTTAAGTCATACTTCAGGAGTTAGACGCATGGAAATGGCCTCCAAACCTACTTTCTTGATTGTGTGGCATAAACATCTTTACTACACACACACACACAAACACACACACACACACACACACACACACACACACACACAAAGGCCTGACTATGTTTGAAAGGCTTTTCCATATAAGAAATGAGTTTAGTGTTAAAATTTGGCAAAATCATCTCTTAATGTTAGGATGGTATTCTAAACAAGTGAGTAATAAAACTTACTCCTGTGTATAAATAGATCCTTCTATATACATTCTATACACATATAATCACTAGAAGACTTAACCACAAGTTCCCACGGAACTTGATAAGGAATCTTATCATAAGAGGGAATCATAGGTTATAAGACAGATCAGGCACCAGTGTGACCTCTAGTGATCTAAAGGGATGACACCAACTGGCAAGCTAAGTAATAGTGGAGAGACCACCTCGAATGCCCATTCCTGATAATGAACTTGATGTCCATAACCATCCTGGAGCCTTCATCCAGTGACTGATGGCAAACACCCACAGTTAAACACTGAACTGAACCCATGGAACCCAGTGACAGAGAGAGAGGAACGATGAGCAAATTGGCACAGAATGGGCTGGCAAAACCAGCAGAGGCAGTTGATCTGAACAGGGGAGAATTCTTGGACCCCAGACTGACAGCTGGGAGGCCAGCATGGGACTGATCCGGACCCCCTGAAAATGAGAGTCAGTGAGGAGGCCTGGGCAACCTATGGGGCCCTGGGCAGTGGATCAGTGTTTATCCCTGGCATACAAACAGACATCATGTGTCTATAACACAAAGAAGGATGCTCTCTCAGCCTGGACTCTTAGGGGGAGTGCCTGGACCCTACCCTGAGTGAAATGACAGACTCTAGATATCCCCTATTTGAAGGAAATGGCGATAAGGTGGGAGGCTGGGGTGGATGGTAAAGGAGTGTGGGAGGAGGGGAGGGAGAGGGAACTGGAATTGACATGTAAAACAAACTATTTAAAATTAAAATAATAAAAAGAAAATAAATGAGAACATAAACACACAATAAATACAGGAGAGATTGGCAATTTATCTTATTTAGCATTTAAATGATCCCTTGTTCTGTCTCTTTGCAAATTATCTATCTATCCACCCATCCATCCATCCACCCATCCATCCATCCATCCATCCATCAATCCATATACTTTTGTACAGATTAAACAAAAGACTCACTAAGAAATATTGTTTGCTAGAGTAAAGAAAATTCCTTAATTTGTTTTTCATTTTTAAAATAGTGAATTTTGGGATTTTTTTTTCTAGCCTGACCTTGAACTCCTAATACTCCTGCCTCCACCTCCAAGTGTTGGTATTACATATCCATACCATCACATCTACTTCTTTTTGTATTAAAAAATTCAATAGAAATGAATTCTATGTTGACTGATCTATTGGGGTCACTTGTACTTTCATGAACTGAAAATTTTCTGCAGAAAAACATCCTTTCTATTATTGTTGGCTTCTGATAACATCAATGCTCCTATAACATTGGGTGCATTATTGTTACATTCTCTTCCCTTAGAGGGATCTAATTGTCATTTGCATGCCTGTCCAACCTCACTGTTTACTCTAGATTAAAATCTCTGCTTCTCTTCAGACATTTTGTGACATTTCACAGGTAACAGGGTAATATGGAAGAGGAAGGCTGAGTCTCAATGTCTTAAACAGAGATGAATGATGACCATCAGGGAGGTCTCCAGTCCTATACTGAATTTGCTGTATTTCATGGGTAACCTGCATCCTTCCCTTCTAGCCAATTCTCTTCCCTCTCTTCAGCAACATTTCTTAGATGCAGCTCCCTTTTCATTTATCTGCAGAAGAAATACAAATGTCTAGTCAAATCCCCAACTGAAGTAGTCTAATTACAGTTTGGCTTTATAGATAGTTTCCCATAATATGTCTTGTGATTACAAGAAACAGTTTTGAAAATTCTATATTCAGCAAGGTATTTATAACTGACACAAAGATTATTTTGATTTCTATTAATGGAGAAATTGAAGATAACAGACTGGAATGTTGAAGAATCTAAAACCAGGGGTATAAAACAGCACCAGGATCAGTCAGTAAAGTACTAGTTATGCAAACACAGAGAACTGAGTGCTGATCCCAACAAGCTATGTTGGGTGTCATCGTGCCAACCATGTTGCTGATGAAAAGGATATCAAGAGTTGCTCATTCCTGATATAACACAATTTTCGCACTTCTTCTGGGTGCTGTTCTTTGCTTGATTCTCAAATCTCCCCGCTCAAATGACTTATGCAGAGAAGACATAGGGCAGTATCTTGTGGGTAGATTTTGCTAACTTGTTGGCTATCAACTTATCAGTACCCACCAGTATAAATGTTCCTGTGGCAAGGTCCTAGGTTCCTAGGATTCCTGTAAGAAGCACAGTAGACTGAAAATACCTAGCTCCTGTCCCCAGGGGAGGAGAAACACTCCCAAATTCTTGTCACTTGAGTTCACCATAAAACTGTCCTATTTATTGGCCACTGTCTCATCTTTTCTAGACATGTAATAGTTCTATGCATAAAGCATGGGACACATTGAAAAATTCTCCCAAGCTTTAGCCAAACTGAACGTCAATTGATTTCCTCATTTTTATGTGTGCTATAATTTTTTCTTTACACATGAACATGTAGACCAAATACCATCATTTCCCTCCTGAAACTGACAAGCTCAATCGACAGCTAAGGAATACCGACTATGTAAAATACCAAAATGCAAACAGGATTCCCAAACACTCAATCTGAATGTAAGGGTTCAAAGTTAATAGATGTTTAAGCATGAAGACAGAGTCCACACAGAATCTCACAGTTGAACACCTCAAAGAACACTTTTAGTAAATTTCTAGCTCCTCACTTTATAGCAAACACCCAAACCCTCATTTTCTATTTTCTTTACGCATCTTTTTTTTCATGCCTTATTACCTACCTTTCTCAACTATATTGGTTATGGTTCTACAGCTGCTGTGATAAACACTGTGACAGAAAGCAAGAAGGAAAGGATGTATTTCAACTTACTGCTTATATATAGTACACCATGAAGGGAAGTCAGGGCATGATCTCTAGGGGGGATCTTGGAAGCAGGAGCTATTACAGATGCCATCAAGGAACACTGCTAACTAGCTTGACTTCCATGGCTTATTCACCTTGCTTTCTTATAGCACCCAGAACTACTTGCTCAGGAGTGGCACCTCCCACAGTGACTAGGACTTCCCTCATTACTCCTTAATTAAGAAAACAAATCACACACTTACCCAAAGGCCAATCTAGTAGGGGAATTTTCTCAAATAATGTTCCTCTTTCCATATAACTGAAACTATGTGTGGTTATCACAAAAGTAACCAGGACATGGAACAACCATTTCCCTTCTGTTCCCTAGCTTTACATCCAGGCATCTTTCTTTGTCCTTTGTACTTTCTCACTCAGTAATGACACACTCCCTGGGCTTCTCCAGTTCAGCAACTATTTCCATCGCGCAATCTTAGCCTAATACTAGTAGTTTATAAGTGTTGATATAAAAGGCTTTCCTTTTAGTAGTAGGAGAGGGGTTGTTGCATGTATTTGTGATAGTTTTGTAAATAAGATTTTCAGTTAATTATTTTTTCTAATGATCCTAGAACATAGGACCTCATACATGCTAGGCAAGATCACTAACACTGACCACATGTATCCTTAGTCAATATAAGATGTCCTGGCTGGCCATGCATGTCAGTCCTTCATGACAAGGCTAGTTAATATTGGGATTAAAAAACTAATAATCCTTTAACTCTTGATAGCCAGTAGAATATATTCTATGTAGGATGCTTAATTTGTTAATATAAAAAATGCAGATATATCCAAAAATCCATTTACAGACTTTGAATCTGTATTAAAAAATAGACCATATATTTACAGCATGTAATCTAAATGCTGTTTCTACAGTAAAGACAATTACTAGGTGCATAAATGAAATCTTTAAAACATATAAAAGAAAATTAGTTGTATTTTCTTTCTCTCTTTGTGTGTGAGAGAGAGAGAGAGAGAGAGAGACAGAGAGAGACAGAGAGAGAGAGAGAGATGTAGACATTTATGTGTTACCCATGCACGTAAAGATCAGAAAACAACCTGAATAGTGGGCTTCACATTCTGCTTTCTTTGAGAAACGGCTTCTTGTTCACTGCTATGCTCCAGCAGGCTGGCTGGCCCACAGTTTCTGGGACTTCTACCTCTTTCTTCATCCTGCCATAGAAACAATGGGATTAAAGATGCTCACTTCCATTCAATTTATGTAGGTGCTAGGGATCCAAACTCGAATCCTGTTGCTTGGGTTGTGAGCAATTACCTGCTGAGCCAGATACCCATTCCAGAACAATGACACTTTTTAGATAACTTTTTGTAATGAAAATAATGTGGTAGTCCTATCAAGAAAGTGAGACTGTGTGAGTGCGTGTGTATGAGTGTGTGCGTGTGTTTGTATGTGTAATAATTAAAGTAAGGAAGAAAGAAAATGTGACTGAAATGTACTTCCTGCAGCAGATACTCATAGCAAGCCTCAGGGTTATTATGGATGTGACTGGTTAGGTCCCAGCGATTGTCCTAGCTAAGTGGCCATTGCTCAAGTCCAACTATTGCTTATAGGTTGAGTTGCTTTGAGGTTTTTAATTCACTAGAGGGAGCTTGCAGGTAGGAGTGATGCAGTTCCCACACAAGAAAGATTGATTGCACTCATTCAATCCCCACAGCCTGAAAAATACTTTCTATTTATTTTATTCAGGAGCTTGTTGTAACACATCCCAGAGTCGCCCAGTCATTTTTTTCCACTAGTGAAAAGTCTAATTTTCCTTTCCATTTTTTATTCTTCCATGCAATTCACTCACTCCCCATAGTACTCTACCATGTGGCTGCAGTGAACTTTGTAGGATTTTATCTGGTTTTATCACCCATATTCCTTTTGTCTCCAAGAATGACCAGTTAAAGCACTAATCTCACTGGGTTACCTAGTTGTTTCATCGCTGAGTGATGGAAAGTTTTTCCTGATTTGCTTTGCAACAAATTTGATATCCTTTACCCAGCTCTGTGGAGTGCAGGGCACATATTTCCCAGCCTTGCCTTTCGCATAATGTGCAAGTAAAGAGTGTCTTAGTTAGGGTTTTATTGTTGTGAAGCAACGCCAGCCATGGTCATGGCAACTCTTATAAAGGAAAGCATTTAATTGAGGCTGGATTCGAGTTTAGATGTTTAGTACATTATCATCATGACATTGTGCTAACAGATATGATGCTGGAGAAGGAGCTGAGAGTTTTGCATCTGGATCAGTAGTGAGCAAAAAGAGAGAGTGACACTGAGTCTGACTTGAGCAGCTAAAACCACAAAGATCACCCACAGTGGTACACTTCTATCAGGGCTACACCTACTCCAACAAGGCCACACACCCCCAAGATCGCCCTTCCCTAGGAACCTATGGGAACCATTTTCATTTAAACAACCACACTCAGATTCCAAGAAGAATGGGTATAATTTTACATGGACAAGTCACCAGTTTATCAGTCTGCTTAAACCAAAGTGAGAGACAGAAGTTCAGGTATCAGTTGTAAAAGGTTTCATTTGAGTGTGTGTTTGTTTCATGAATGCTGAAACAGCTTGTGTCAAAAGAATGGTAGTATGTGAACTGGTTAGTTCTCTCCAAATTGACACAAGATTAAATGATTTGAGAACAGGAACCTCAACTCAGAAAGTACTTCTACAAGACTTGCCTGTAGGCAAGTCCGTGGAGGCACATTCTTAGTCACTGTTTGATAATAAAGGGCCAAGCCTGCTGGGCAGGTTCTGGGTTCTGTAACAAAGCAAGCTGATTAAGCCATGTATAGCAAGCCAGTAAGCAGTAGCATTTCCCCCCACAGCTTCTGTTTCAGTTCCTGCCTGCAGGTTCCTGTCCAGTCTGAATTCCTGCCCTGCCTTCCCTCAGTGATGGACTGTGATATAGAAGTATAAAGGGGAACAAACCATTTACACCCTGGTCGAGTTTGATCTATGCTTTTATCAGAGCAAGAGGAGAGTAATTAGGGTCATATGAGTATAACTGTGTTTCACATAGAGGTGTTCAAATTTAGATGTGTTTAACCTTTAATTTGATGAGTGGAATGTCTCCAAGCCAGAATCAACACTAGCAAAGACACTATAGTTGAATATTTTTTAAATATTTGATCTTTTTTTTGGAGAAAGGTTCTATTGTATGGTCTCCAACCTTTTGTGTAGGTGAGGATGACCTGGAATTTCTCATTCACCAACCTCTATCAACCAAGTGCTAAGACTGAAGGAATGTGCCACCAAGTCAAGCAAATGCAGTGCTATGAATCAAATGTAGGGCTTTTTGCATGTTGATAGAACTCCACCAATGGAGCTCCACCCTCAATATCCCAATGTTATATTGAAAAATAAGTTACCAGAATAAATGTGGGAGGGGTACCAGATGATACTAAGAGAAAAATCACACTTCATGTCACACTCTCTCAATGGCTCCTTCATCTGTTATTTCATCCTGTACCTCATTTTTCCATTTGCTTTCTTAACTAGTGTGTTCTTTGGTTTGGCAGAGATGATTGGCTTACATGTAATCAATCATTTGGATTAATACGTAAGGCAGAGGAAGACCTTAAATCTGTTAGGTGAAGGTGGACACACACACACACACACACATAGAAACACACACATCACAGTGTGTCACAGTGGACATCTGTGTGATAACTTAAAAGGAATAGAGACTATTCTTTAATCAAGTATGTCACACATATTTGTGTAAGGAATCTTAAGTGTAAAAACACTTACTTTGGAAGCTTCTGGTTTCCTAAACCTTCAGTATTCCTAAGAACGTTCTGATTTCCATATTGGTTTTGAGTATCTGTGGTAGATAAGGTATGAGTTGTTGAAATATTGTAAAACAAGTGGTGCATCTGATGCCTTAAGCAATGCTGTGCCTGTTTGACTAGACACATTTTCCCTGACAATGTAACTTGTAGTAAGCTCCTTCTTTTGTCATGATGGGAGTGGAGTCTGAGTAACTTTGTCAGATGTAAGACTATTCCCTGCCTTCATCACTGAGTACACGAGTTAGAACACTGTGCATGGGTTGTCACGCTCTATAACTGGGAGGATTTTACAGACTCTTGTAGAGATATAGGGTCTTTGTACTTGGTTTTTCTCTGGAATTTGCCATATATATTTTTCCTTTTCTGGCTTCTATATATGTATGTTTGTGCACATATGAGTATGTACAGGTTTCTGTGTTATGGGTGCTTCTGTATACACAGGTGCAGGCATGAACCCACATGCATATATATGGGCAGTTCAAAGGAGAATACTGTATGTCATTCTTTAGGCATCTTCTTTGAGAGATGGGTTCTATTTTTGAGATTTCTCCAAATAGTCTAGACTAGATGACCAGCAAGATTACAAATATACCTCCTGCCTCCACCTAGCATTTCCCATCACTGGGATTAAGGTATATGCCATCTTGCCACCATGCCTGGATTTTATGGTATTTGTTAGGTATTAAAATCTGATCTTCATGTTTGTCAGGTATGTGTTCTACCATCAGAGCCATCTCCCTCACCCTTTTCTTACTGTGAAACATGTTCATTGTTCTATAATAAACAAGATTCATGTGTATAATAATAAAAATCAATGAACTTTTAAAAATGATTTTTGAATTAATTATTTGAGAATTCTGTACAATCCATTTTGATAATATTTATTTTTCTCCTATCTCATCCCATATCCACCCTATTCTCTATTCAGCAAGCCCTTTGTCCCTTTTTTTTAACCCATAAATTTGTGCTACTCATATGCTCTTGAGTGTGTGACTGTCTACTGGAGCTTGGTCAATCAACCATGGCCATACCTTAGAGAAAGGTGACTCTTCCTGTCTCAACAGCTACAAAATTCCAAGAAACTTCATCTAATTGTAGAACTTCTTGTTCATCTCCATGTTGGAAATTTTGCCTAAGTTGAGCACGTCTAGGCCTTGTGCATGCTGTTTCATTCTCCCAGAGTTCATATATTCAACTATTTCCTTTTAGTTATCTACCACCTCTGATTTTTCTATTCTTTACATTCTTTCTGGCTCCTATTCTTTTCTCTTCTACAATCATCCTAAGTCTTGGGAAGGGGACATCATAATATAGAAGTTCTAATGATAATTGAGAATTCACATGACATTACTTCCTGCATCTTGAACATTTTTGAGTGCCTGTAATAATCCCTATCTTCTGAATAAAGATGCTCCTCTGCTAAGGTTTGAAAGGTGCACCAATCTAGGGAAATAAAATATTGGTAAGTCATTCAGTGTCATTTAAGTAGTATGTCTACTTAGAAAAATCATAGTAGGTTCTCCACTAGGGTCTATAGACCCAGATTCTTGACCTTCATAATGGTGTTGTGAATGGTTTCATTTTGTCCAGCAGGCTTACTTCCAATGAAAAGTGGATGGTTACAAATATGCCATTCATGCCACTATTGTATCAGTGGGCATGACTTGTCAGACAGGTCTTTTTTGTAGCTGTCAAAGTTTACACCTGTGTAAGACTGATGGTGACTTTTTCCTTCAGCATCTTCCATAGCTCCTGCAGGCACTAAATAAACTTTTCAGGTAAATACCAGCTTGGTTTCTCCATGAAGTGTCCTCAGCAATAGGGACTTTCCATCAGGTTCTATAGGGTAAACAAAAGCCTGTGGTATTTTGGGTATATGAGATTTCACTGACCAAAAACTCCTAAACAATAAACTCCTTCCTAGCATTGGGCCTTTTATTTGTTAGTCTGTACTGTCTAGTATAGAATTGTCATTTAGTTTAACTTCATTTTAGGTATGCATATGTATATATTTTAGGAAGCAAGTTTTCATATAGCTTTTTAAAAATAACTGACCCTCCCCATATTCTCTCCTATGCCCTGAGCTTCAACCTCTTGCCCCTATATTTTTCATATAAATGATAAGGTTGATAAAATTCATTGATACAGGTGGAGCTCAGTGGTATAAAGAGTTAAATGGGATAGTGTAACAGAAAATATTGAATAAAAATATAGAGGTTAATATCATGCTTATTTGGGTACCAAGCCTAAGCAAATGGTATTTAGCCATTAAAAATAAAGAAAATGTTCTTGGAAAAAATCAAAGATTCATGTTGACTGGCAAAATAATTTACCAGTTGCTGGAGAAAAAATAAATTAACATTCTCCAGGAAT